ATACTTTGGGATGCTGTAGAGGAAGTATTGCCTTTAGTTCTGCTGTATTTTGGATTAAGAGTAATTTGTATGATGGTAGTTGATGACAACTGATGTAGATTATGTTACATGGATGACCATGCCGGTTTTATTGTTTGTTTTGGGATGCATCAGTGTATATGTGGGTGTGATCTGGCCAGTTTTCATTTATATATACTCATAAGCAAAAGAAACGCAAGTGGTTTTAAGCAAATAGGTAACAAAGACGGAACCAAAAATTGATACGAGTTTCAGCATGTAGTGAAGCCTGATGGTGTTGTCAATATCTTTGGTTGCATTTTGGAAGCCCCGAGTAAAAACGCAACATAAAAAACGAATCGCCAAAACGCACCATTTCAATGAATATGTGGGTATCATGCACCCATTTCTCGCGAAATCGAAAATGCACCCACTGTCACGAACTGGAGAGGGTATAAAACTGTGGCCGATTCTTGGACCTACCAGTCCTTGGTCAACAATGCCACGCCTAACTTAAATTCAGAGAAACCAGGCTTTCGGACGTTTTGAAGCTGGAGAGTCTGTCCAAGATGTTGCCCGTCATTTCAACGTTAACATAACCACAATTTACCGTCTCCTGCATCGATACAATGCTTACACAGACCACAGATGACCTTCCTCGGAGCGGTCGTCCTAGGGTCACCACACCTCGACAAGATCGGCAGTTTACCCGTCAACACCAGCGACATCCGTTCCACATACATCCACATAATAGACACATTAGCCGGGACACTGTGATCGACGTCTCCGTTCCAACAACCTCAGATGTCGCCGACCATCACGTCGTCCTGTTCTCCAACCACGGCATCGACAAGCACGACTTCAGTGGGCACAGGGTCATCACAATTGGCGTCATCGTGAGTGGAGGCGTGTCATCTTCTCTGATGAAAGTCGCTTTTGTGTCTCCCATGCAGACGGAAGAGTCAGAATTTGGCGGCGTCGAGGTGATCGTTTCGCTGACAGAAACGTTGTGGAAAGGGATCCATTGGGTGGTCCTAGCACCATGATATGGGCAGGGATTGGACTTAATGCGAGACTTGGACCCATGTGCTTTCTGAATGTTGGTCAAGGTCGGGGACACGGCGTCACTGCTCAGCGGTATATCGACAAAATGATCCGACCCCACGTTATTCCATTTTTTGCACAACATCAACAACACATTTTCCAGCAGGACAACGCTCGTCCCCATGTTGCCAGAGCTACCATGGCCTTTCTGCAACAACACAACATCCGTGTTTTACCGTGGCCAGCCCTCAGCCCTGATCTGAAACCCATCGAACAGTTGTGGGAGGAGGTTCAAAGGCGTCTGCACAATGTGCGCCCAGTTCCTACAACTGCTGATGAACTATACACAGTTGCTCTGGATGTGTGCAGGAGGATCCCTAGGGCCTTCACAAATCGTCTGATCCACTCAATGTACAGGAGATGTGTGGCAGTGATCAATGCTAATGGTGGTCAGACCAGGTATTGACTGACATTCTGGGTATTGACCCGAAACTGTAAGCCCTTAACATTTGAAAAAAACAATTATATCATCTGCCTTTTAATCCATTAAACTGTCTTCAGTCAATTTTTTGTCAATCTTGCCCTATTAGTATTTCTTGTCTTTACTGTTGAAAATAGATAAAATGTATACTGCATACTGGACTTGCGTTTCTTTTTCGTGTGAGTATAGTTAAGGGATAATGTCTTTATGGGGTGTAGTTGAAATGATGTGTGTAGTGATATGTCTGTTTGTGGAAGGGGTGTGTCATTATATATTTATTGGGGAGGGGTTTGTCATCATGTATTTATTGGGGAGTGGTGCATGTGGCATGTTGTCCAGTTTGTGATTTTTATTAACTAATGTAGATGGGCTAGGTTAGGGGGCTTGTATAGCGTTGTGTTTTTGGTATTTTTTTGTGTGATTACTTTGTAGATTGAGTTTTGTTGTTCCCCAGCCCAAGAGTTTGGTCAAGAGGGGGGAGCTAAACCTGAAAATAATAGTAGATTGGCGGACTTAAAGTATTCGAAAGATTTAAAGTAGAGATGTTGTTTCTTTGCACTTCTGTTAATCATGGCATGCTGTTGAACTGTCACTGTTCGATTGCCGCAGATGCCAGGCAATCATAAACCCTGCACTTTAATACCGTTCATAGTGCTGCTGCACGTGCAGTGCGTGCAGCTCCATGACCCTTTTGTTAATGCACTGGGTGCGTTTTTCCGAATCGTTTGCATGTCCTTGTTTGTGATAATGTTTATCCGGGAAATTTGTCACTGACACTATAACACATGGGGTTGACCAGCGAATTTGGTGGGGTAGGGGGTGGGGATTTGTTTTATGGTGGTGCGTGTTGGGTAGTAAGGGGGTGTTTTGTGGTTTTGCTTGTGAGTTTGTGTTGTTGGTGGTTGAGAGGTGTAGAAAAGTTGTTTGCGGTTGGGTCTGTGTTGTTGTTTGTTATTTTTTGTATGTTTTGGGGATTTTTGTGTGTTTGTTTTGTTTTGTTTTGTTAGTGGGAGGGGGTGGGGGGTGGCTATGGAGCTTGCTGTAGAATTTAGTGTTTCGGATGTTTAGGATTCCTCAGGTATTTCATGTAGGGTATGACTGTTGCTGGTTTGGGGAGACGAGCTTGTGTTATATGTTTGTTTATTCTGAGGATGTTTCTGTTTGATGGGGCGCCGCAGTTTACTCAATACGAGGCCAATGTGCATTCGGAAATTTCTTGTCTTTGTGATTTACATTTTTGGCATATGGGCGGGTTTTTTAATTCTGTGGTGTTGTTTTGCTATGAGTGACAGGTGTTGCATTGTGTTGTGTTTTTTTAATGGGATGTATTATATTAGTTAGGGCGTCGAATGTTACGTGGGGTGGGGGAATGAGTGTTTAAAATGTTAGAAATGATATATGTTGTTTGTTTTCCATTTGTGGATTGTTTTTTGTTCATGTGTTTGAAGTCTACTTTTTTTGTTTGGAATGGATGTTTGTTTGATATATGTATGTATTCTTGTATGTCCTGTATGTGTATTACACAGTAAGTGGCCACGGTTATTCACGTACTTGTATTCAATTAGTGCTTCTTTAGGCAGAGGGCAAATTTATTGATAGAGAATGTTTCATTGAATTTGTATTGATAGTTTAATCGACATCATTTGGCGAGGTATTGATGGGGCGTTGGGCTGAGTTGGCTTGGGTTAGTGGATTGTTTGGATTGTTTGGATTGTGATCAATGATTATGATAACGATGAATTACTGAATGAATGTTGTTAGGAGAGTCTTATTTCCCTTACTATAGTCGTCATTCAGGTTGAGCGTGGCCACTCTGAATGCCAGTAGTGGTTCCACGGCATGAATCAAGTCCCTTGGTAAAGTTTGTTGATGTCACGAGGCATTGTTGGAACTGCTTTAAAGGCCTACGTCCCCTATAAATAGTGGACATCTCCCAAAGATGGCAGTGGCAATCTTGACTTCAAGCCGTTGAAATGGTACATCACTTGGACTGCTCTTTTGAAAATATTGATGGTTGAAAGGCACATCTATGCTAACTTTTCGCTTCTTTTTTCCAGGGATTTCAGAGAGTAAATCAGCCTACAAGTAGAATTTTCAAAACAGCAATCATGAATAGATATATTGGAAAGTAATTTGAAACTTTCTGACGTTCGACGAGTCCATCTATGAAAGTTGGGAGGGGTGAAGGATGTAGCCAAGGACTGTAAACACAGCCGTGTCTTGGAGGGGAATGTAGACAGGTGGCTATCTGGGGCTATTGCCGCTGGCAACACAAGTGTTTCAATATGAGATTATATGATAAATGAGTGAGTGAGTGAGTGAGCTTTTAGCAATATTCCAGCAATATCACGGCGGGGGACCCCAGAAATGGGCATCACACATTGTACCCATGTCGGGAATCGAACCCGGGTCTTCGGCGTGACGAGCGAACGCTATGATAAATGAAAGAGATATCTGTAAAGAAACAAAACACATGTCTATTCTAAGAAAATACTTTAAATTAGTAAGTATATGTCCAAGTTATCCACAACATATAACCAGAAAATGTTCTCCTCTGAGACACGACAGGATGACGCACGACAGGTGGCATCGGAGGGACATAATGCCATTCTGTGTTATACAGAAAACAAGACTATGGATGCCTAAGACTGACAGCGAAGAGTATGTTTGACATCAGTGGGAGAATGTGTAGAACATTATTCTTTGCAAAGATTGAATGATTGAATGATTGATGATTAGTATACATTTTGTTCTTTTATGTTCATTTCTCTTAAAAAAGACATTTTTTAATAATATTTTTATTCCGTAATCTTGTCTCACATTAATATACAGAATACATGCAAGATAGTTATAAAAATGAAGAAATGAAAAGAATGTAACAGAAGTTAAATAGATTCAACATTCAAATACTGGAATTCTAATGCAGATTTGCTATAGTAAAAGAAAAAACATACACAAAGTTTATTGTTAGAGTGCAATGTATATATTTTGTAGTTATTGACAATATACAATTATTTGAATGTTTTTTTCAACAAGCGCACTAACAGATACATACACAGAGAGTGATACACATACAAACACGAGCACGCATACATTCGCGCTCTCTCTCTCCCTCTCTCACACACACACACACACACACACACACACACACACACACACCATTGTACAGTAAGCTAAATTATAACTAATTAAGTGTTTACTTCTAAAATATGGATTTTTTTTATAATTTGGGGGGGGGGGGGGGGGGGGGGGGTTGACAAATCAGTTTTGATGCCTTTATCAACAGAGTGTCTCATTTTGTTGCTATAAATCCTAGCTGTCCCTGGGAATTCGACCGACTCTATATTATAGCAGTACAAGCACAAATTTGGTACAGGCCGCCAATCTTTCAGTAAGTACATGTACAACTCCAAAAGCAGCACCAAACATAGATGTTATCCATTTTATTACGTATACATTATTTGGTTTTGGTTTCCAGACTACACCAGTCATAAGATATTTCCCAGTCCCTGTGAGTGTTGGAACCAAGGCCATTCTTGTGGGTCGTGCTGGGACACCATCGTAAGTATGCATTTACTGCATGCCACTTTGTGAAATGTCAACATAGTCTTCTTGGCTTACAACGAAAAGTAGGAAATAACAATGTCATAAAAACTGAATAAACAGCTACAATAAATCGAATTTCTGTTTCAAGCAAACATTGTTGTCAATTATATATTTTGTTGCTTATTGACAATCGTCATTTGTAGAACATCAATACCCTTTAATTAGGGAGTGATATATCAGTATCCTTGAAAAGAAAGTTCAAACACATTTGCACATCAAAACTTGGTAATATGTATTTGTAGCTTGAGAAAGTCGTTATCAATATAAAGATTTGCTCATCTTTGTACTAACAACTGTATGATAATGTTGAACCTCTTTTGCGAGGGTATTATCCATAACTACAAAACTGAACATTATGTCAATGTATATATTTCTTTCGTCATATTCATGTTTTATTTCAGGTTCTATCTAAATATAAAACCATCTCGTAATGTCACGATGTCACTGCATGCAAATCAGATTGACGGAACGATTTTAAGGAAAAAGAAACATCTTGGCTCATGGGGTCATTTCATAACCGAAACAACTAATGCTCTGATGCCACCTGGATCTGTCTTCACCCTTACTGTAGAGTTTACAAGCGAAAGTGAACTAAAGGTGAGTCATTAAGTGTGAAGTTGTTCCTCCATCAAGTACTAAACTATTATTGTCTGATGGTAATGAAGTATGTTCTTGCTAAAAGTTCAAAATGCTAACAATATTGGCAAACTTATGTAATGAGTTGACTGGAAGTACGGACCTGCTAAACACACACTCTCTGATATTCTTTTGAAATAAATGCCACATGCAGCATGCGCTGTGTTGACACATCGTTATAACACGAGATTTTGATTTTTAACAAATGTTTCTCAAGATCGCAGGATATATACACATGTTTATATAAAATCTAAACTGGCTAATATATTGGGTTTTAATGGAACGTGTATACATTATTTGGTGGGAAACATTTCAACTGGATTCTAATACCTCACAATACTATTATTCGTTTAAGGGAACAGTAACTGGAAACTCATTTTACAACTTCACGTATCCAGTTCTAGTCGGTCTGGAATCAATTGCTCTCTTTCAAGTTAAAGACAACATTAGCATCTCCGAGATACGTTTTGAATGGCCTTAAAGGGATGCTGTGTGTCTGATTACGGGAGCGGCCCACTACTTGGATCTGCCTGAGATGTCGGCAATTTCTGAAACGTGAATTTGAATTCATAATAAAACGCTTAAGAAGGTGCTTCATGGATTGTTTAGTTTTCTTAATTTAACCGAGCAGTGCTCCAAATGGAATCACAGAGAGCCTTCACACAAACTACGCTTTCGTAGTATAGGGAATGGGGGACTGGTTCAATACCCCTTCTGGATCAATTCCAGACCCTGAAAATGCCCCATGTAAACCTGGGATTTGTCCAAAAGGGGGTTAAAGCAGTCCGAACCCCCATTCCCTATACCACTGCTAATGATTTGCGTTGTTTCTGACCCTCCCGTTTTGTATGTTGGACTAGTAATATTTTATTATTCAGTATGGGACTTCAGTATGGGATAAATTTAAAAACTATTTTCCTGCCGATGACTGTCAGGAACAAATGTTGTCATTGTAATATGTATCACTGTCAAAGCACAATGTATGCCCCAGTTCCATACATGTACCAGACACCAGAAGCATGTGCGTGTTTTACGTCACTGTATTTAAGTGGAACAATATTTAGGGGACACAGTTGGCACAGTCATCTAAGGCGTTCAAATTGGCGTTAGAACTCATCACAAAACAACCATTTCACTTCATCTTCTGCTTATTTGTAATAACAACCAATTGAAATTGTTGCATAGTGTTTATTCGAAACAAACAGTCATAACAACGTGCCTCCGTGGCCTAGTGGTACAACGTTCGCCCGGAGAGCGGAAGGTCCGGGGTTCGATCGCAGGCCGCGTCATACCAAAGGACGCTAAAAGACGCTGCAAGAACAGGTCGGCTCGGAGTGTGTATACTGTGTATGAGTTGCGATTTAATGTTAAACTGCGACATGGCATCTCAGTTGGCTAGCACCATGAAACTGGAATAGTAACAAGTACAAGCAGCCACACATGCACACACGTCCATGCGCGGCATATGATTGAATGTAATGGTCTAAGAAAGTATGATTGTAACCCACGTGTTGACTACACATGGAGGCGACAAACAACGGAGTTGGGGCTCCATATGATAATGTTTCTTTGATAAAAGAGATTACTCACTCGGTACCACGAGTATTATGTTCATGTGAAGTATTTCCGTGGTAGTAAACATATAGGATTACGTGTTCCTTTACTTTTCTACATAAGTGTATTATGGTTATGTATATACATTTTGTTCATGGATGTAGTATTCGAGCACTAATGACATGTGATGTGAAAACATCTTCAAACTATAATGAAATGAGTATGTTTTGTAAATACACGAAATAAAAATGTGAAATTGATTTCATATGTGTTGTCTTGACACCTTCGCAAAATGCCATGCGTACTAAATATATATATAAATAAGTAAATAAATATAAGTAAATAAGTGGAGTAAGATTGAACACAGTTTTAATTGGTTAGCGCTTTCAACTCGTACTACGTACGGGTCTCATCAGGCCATAACTGAATAACGGACACCCCTCATAACATCTAGGAGAACGATGATGTCACAATACCAAGGTGACAATGGACAAATAACTTACGCCTTTTTATTACTTGCCCGTGAAGAGATCACCCGTTTAATAAACATACAGCTGTATTACACATTGTGTAATACCAAAACGCGTGCTTATGTACTCTCGGAACACGTTTCACGAAAAATATTGAAAGCTCTCAACATCCCTTGGCTTATTCAACGACATTGCGTGTGGAGATGATAGATCACTGAGAGGAGTTTAAGCACACTCGATGACCCCAGCAACCTTATTGCTAGGCTGACGCCCCATGGCATTGTTTCGCCGAAGGATCTTGCAACAAAATTCCACAAATTACGTCATCGGGTATTGTGACGTGATTGTAAACTTTGAGGTGCAAGGCCCCGTTCCACAAGGCGATCGTACTGTAGCGCAACGACAGTCGTTGGTCTAAGTTAAAGCATGTGAGTTGCGATAACCTTTAACGTTACGATAATTTTGTGGAACGGACGCCTGAATTCTAAAGGTGGACCGTTGTATGGTATTAAATTCATACGTTTCAACTTTTGACGTGTTTGAAGTATTATTCTGTTAAACTCAATTGTATTATGCCGTGGATCGTGTAGGTGTCAGCCTATTCACACTCGACAGTATAATTCTAAAAACGTTTTAAATGGCAAGTAATAAATAAAATACTAAACTCGCTCCCGTGTAAAACCAATTTTATGAAACTCGTGAATAGTTGTGGTATCTGACTCGCTTTCGCTCGTCAGATACCACAACTATTCACTCGTTTCATAAAATTGGTTTTACACGGGAGCTTGTTTAGTATTCTATATACATTTAACTTAGGCGCGTATTTATGAATGTAATGTTGCTCTTTTTGAAACAATGTAGGTTCATGATCAAAATTTAGCTTATATAGCCGGAAAACTTCAATCTTACTCCACTTATTTAATTATAACTATATTGTGCCTGAGATTTAGAACTCTACTGTGTGAACTCTAATTATATATATATATATATATATATATATATATATATATATATAGCTTCTCAACGGCTCTTCGGGTGTAATGAATCTTTACGAAGATTGTGACTTGCACCATCAGTTCGCGTACTTAATTTAGTTGAACGATTGACCAGCCTTTGCAAGGGTGGTATCACCGTTTACCGAACAAATAGTATCAAACTATATTTGGATAGTGATCATAAACACATGCTTGCAGTGGGAATCGTGCAACGGATTCTTTGATTATGGAAAGGGTTCTGGCTTTTCTTTAAGTACAGCGAAACCCTGATATGTAGACATGAAGAGACCTGGAAATAATCTCAATGTCAACTCGTTGTTAACAGTAGTGTCGGGTGTACTGTGTAATGTGTCTCTGGGGAACAAGGAAATATATCCAGATAACAGGTGTTTTCTGCTTAAGAGGTTTTACTTTGCGAGAATTCACTGTATATAGCTACGGAGTCTTTCTGTACATCAAAAAGAAAATTAATTGGCACGTTTCATCACAATTGTAAGGAGATGGTTCTGTGAAAATGCTCGTTTAGCATGGTGTATTGACAGACCTGGAATCTGAGAACTTGGAGACGGATCCATTGGTCAGACGAAAGTCGCTTTCTGCTCCACGTCACTGAAGGAAGAACGAGCGTTTGGAGGCGTGTCCAGGTCTGTCAATACACCATGCTAAACGAGCAGCTTTGTGGTGATCTCTCAACAAGGGACGCTTTATGACTCGTCCAGCCCTCAGTCCTGCTGCTTTCAGTCGGTTCCTGGCGGTTCTGGTGCTGAAATGATGAATGGGCAACCACAGCTGTTTCTGACGAGTACTTGTTGAAAAGGGTCCTCGGCGTGTGAGAAGAAGAAGGTCCCTGTCTTCGCGATGTGTCGTCACAGAAGGTCTTCCGGATCTCGGACGGCCCTTTACATCACCGGTATGAGCATGTTTCTCGGCTAAACGGCTTACGACAGTGTGGTGATACCCTAAATCCCGACCAATGGCATTACAAGACATTCCTGCGTTATGCATGCCGATTTTTTGCCATCGCCTTCGTACCATGGTCACACAATGTCATGGAATAACTGTTTCAAACCGAGCTTAAGAAAGCAATTTTAACGTTTGGATATACTGCTTTTAGAGATACCTGAGAGTAGCATGCTGCACGGGCATACCATGCATGGCACGTGAACTTTCGTCACGCATGACGGATTACATCATCTCGAGAAAACATAATTCTTCCCGTAATTATATATATTTCATGACTGTTACAAATATTGGGACCAAACAATAATGAAATATATATTAGGGTGTGCTTAACTTTTTCTTTGTGTATATATTATGAATTTACCTCTCTTATAAACAAATTAATGGATATTCATAAGACATCACGCTTATAGAAAACATCAAACAAACATTTATAAAACATGATACTTGCCATCCGAAAACACACTCGTGTGATAGCCTGTATACCTTATTGGTAATATTTGGTGACGCCAGTGTGGAACCCAGTTGGCAAAACCCTTGACCAGCTGCTTCACCTGGCCCAGTCTAAATCCATGGAGCCTATGTGTACATGCTGGCGGGGTTTTAACTAGAAATGATACCAGGTGGGGGTGAGCGTACCCTGCCCCACAGGTGGCACCCATCACAAACACATGCAAAGCAATTGTTCAGCTGAAAACATCAAGGGGACATATGGTAACAGTTTAAACCGGGAATTGCATCGAACAATATTTTTGTCATTGATGCGTCAGATTTGGAAATGTCCTACACATTTCTACCATAAACGTTTTGAAAGCTTTAATGAGTCCTAGAAAATTGTAACATTGATCAAACATGTTTTGAGCAAGAGTCGTACGACGCTCTTTGAAATCTTCGTGAAAACAGCATGCGCGATTGTTCCCAAAAAGTTGTGAAATATAATCACCAAAGGCTGGAGCTGAAGGAATATTGCTCGACATGAAGGGAACGTTGACTATTGGAAAGTTGAAGTCATCCCTCTTGTCATACAGTTTTTTGTCACTCTGAACTTTAAAGCATAGATGGCCTCCTTTATTTCTTGTTCGGTTCAACACAATCTTTTAATCGCCTTTTGTAAGACAGCAAACATGGAAACCATGCAACTTTTCCTTTCGTCCTCGCAGACGGATTATCCAAAATGTTGGAAATTATATGGAGCCAAAGTAAATGCCTTATGCGACTGTTTTGAACCCAGAGCGGATGGAAGCAACTCAACACCCTTTCGACCTTTAAAACGTCCTTTACGAGAAGAAATGACCTTTTTGCTGTTTGTATTTCCCATGTCCCCGCCTCTACCTTTAAGAGATTGGGTTTTTTAGGGGGAGTGGGGATTATTACTGTCAGGGCTACATGGCTAATATGTCAAAATGGCCGATATGTCTGTCCGTCCACGGGTTTGCTCAGCGAAAGCCTGTTTTACCATATTCTCCTAACCGTTCTGCGTCAAAGGTGAAAACGTTGCACAGATCAACCCACTGATTGTGCACATAAATGTGGTTTAAAACGACACCTTACAAAGTCAAGTTTGGTTTCCATGATGGCAACCTGATAAAAGAAGTATTAGAAAGAGAGATCAGAAGTCGAATCCAATATGTCCGCCTCAAAGACATTTCCGAGCATGTTAATTGCAAGTTCTGATGAAGGATGTACATAGACCATTTGTACAAATTTGGAAGGATTTCGACTGGTAGTTTTCAGAGGTAGAAATGTTACCGTTGGCAGACATGTACCCTGTAAGAGCTAAAAACACTTTGGGAACCTTTTAATCCAAAATGGCTGCCAAAGGACACACTTGTGAAAAAACGAAACTGATGCTACTAAAACGTGTCAAACTTGACAGTTGCTAATGTGTTGTTGAGGAGCTATAGGATAAAATGTGCGTTTAAAATGAATTAATTTTGAAAAATATCCCCCTAGGCCCGAGCCATAGGAGTCTGGATGCTTATGTGTGCAGGGACCTTCATGGGCCTACATGCTGGGGAGTTTTGGGAGACTGATCATGAATCGGACGACTGGTTCTTGAGTTACAGTTGGTACAAAAACGGTGGAATTATAAATAAAAACTAGAGCCCAAAATTTCATAAATACTCAAGTTTAATTACCTTCACCTTCAATTTCAGCCAATCACATCCTGCACATGGTGATACTAATGTGAAAAATGTCAGTGTCCCTAAGTAGCATTTTTATATTGTGATATTGGATTTTTTTGTCCAGTCAGGTTCTAAGCTAATGGAATAATTACTACTTTGCAATCGGGAATAACATCAGGTGATTCTACTGTGTGTCAACTGGCCAATACATATACATTCGTAGCTAAGGCAATGAACAATGAAAAAGCAAAAGAAAATAGCTGTATTTTGTGACGTAAGTAAAGCACTCGATAGAGTTTGGCAACAGGGTCTTGTATGTACATGTAACTGAATCAAAGCGGAGATTTGCTTCCGTTTTGAAGTTATTTAAAGAATTATTATAGAAAACAACTGACTTTGACAAAAGATTATACATCCAAAATAAAAGCGATATATGCAGTCCAGCAATTAGTAGTAGTAGTAGTAGTAGTAGTAGTAGTAGTAGTATTTACAGATTAATATACAAAATGCAGCACAGAGGGTTTGGATGATCCTGGCACAGTCAGGCTCAGGGCCCTTGCCCCCTCTACAGGCAGCCCAGACAGCGAATGGGACTTCTCCCAGGAAGCGTTGCCTAGTCAAACCCACCCAGACCTTTTCGGAGAATGTGAAGACTTCCTAACACTGCACCATTCTGCATTACC